AGTAAAAATATCGTCTAATATCCGGAATATGATGATCACGTGATTGTGAATAGTTGAATAGTTTATTCATGACGCACTGATAGACCAAATGCATTTGTTGCGTGTTTTGATTTGTGTTATTACTTTCTGCTCTCTGCACAGCTGCTACTCGTGAATTCTAATGAGACTATTCTTTGTTGATGGCAACTGGCGTTGATCAAGCAAATAAACTTGATTGATAAACGTTTTACCTCTCCAAAATGGAACTGTTCGCGTATTGCATAACGTCCTTGCTATTTGCTGTTTACCGGAATCCAGAAACACATCGGTGACGATCAGATCATAGATGCGGTACTCAAATTCTATGTAACTGTGGCTTGCGTATTTGCCTCCTTCTAAATAACGTGCTGCAGTGAGTGCCGTACTCAGTGAAATCCGGTTTTGGAAGAAATACGCCCTTATTAACATACTCCATAGTACAAACCCATATTTACGATCTAATCATAATGTAGGTGTCTTGCGTTATTTGGCATACTCCAGCGACTTCTGATGTTTATGCGGTAGTGCATAAGGAATGCCAGTTCCTGAGGCATCGTTCGTGATGACTGCAGTGTTGCTGTAGCGAATCTGACCATGCGTGGTCAAATACTTTGAAGCTGTGGCCTGCTTAAATGTTTCCTCCTAGATAATTGGGAGCAAGGGGTGTTGCACGTGAAATCTGGTCTTTGAGGATTTATGCGTTATTTGATTTATTCATCATGTACTCACGACTGCTAAGAGAGTATAAAACGGCGACAATCGAATTTTTTAACTTGCAGGGTGAGTACTCAGCACTACAGCAAAATTCGAACCTTATCCAAGAAGAAAAAGTATGAAAATTTTTAGCCACCGATACATCAGTCGCTCTTGCAGTTCCAGGTGGTGTACTTTACTTGCAGCATGCTTCTCGGACGTAGTTTATAGTGAGGCAAGACGTTTGATTTGATGACTTCAAGTCATCAGGCCCTTAGTTTTGAATCTTGCAGCCACTTATCGATCACAGCTTTTGGTTTACTGCTTTCTTCCCGTTTCTTTCTTCTTTTCTTGATGGTGCCTCCGTAACAAAACACCTCGTCAATAAGGAAAAGTCCAATTGACAAGACATGTACTTTGATGCGGAAGGAAGCTTTACTTTTAGTAAAGGCCGGTCATTTCAGATACTTCTGCCCAGTCGTTTCCAGACGTGAACAAAGGTTGCTCAGTCGATTGAGTGTTAGTCTCACAGTCGAGAAATTGTGGGGTCGAGCCTGATCAGGCCACTCGCCTTTCATCCTTCCGATGTAAACGGAGAGGTACCGCTTCGTGGGAAGCAAACAGAGGGCTACATTTTATTGTGACGGGTCACCTTTCTGTATGGCTATGAAAACAGAGTACTCCATAGTTCTGGAGATTAGTGTGTTATCATATGTTTTATGACAGTATGGAAGTACAAGAGAGAATGGCACCCCAACTCTAACTGGTAAGAACTTTCCATTTTGCGTCTTTTCCGGTTTCGAAACCGGCCAGTTGGCCTGGAAGCCGAGAAACGTAATCCTTGCT